TCTTGCTCCAGGTTCCCCTATCCGCCCGCCCGTTCCCCCTCGGTGCGTGACCCTGTTTACGGCCCGTTGTTTCCTTCTTCGGACTCCTCTCCGGCTCTTTTTCCCCGCGCTCCCCTCCGTCCCCTGACTTGTCCCCAGTTCTCCCCCACTGGGTCTGTCGCCCCTTTGGTGCTCATCCTGTCTCTCCCCGTCCTAGTGTCCATCCTATTGTCCTTCGTTCGCGTGCTCCTCCTGTCACAGTCCTCCCGTTGCCTCCCCTATCATCGTTCCTGTTGCCCCCCCCTCCTCGCTCCGACGTTGCTCGCACTGCTCGTCCAGTCCTCCTACACTTGCTTGTCACTGATCCTACTGCTCCTCCTGAGTTTGTCTCTGCGCTTGTCACTACTTTCGCTGACTTTGCTGCTAGCCACCGCCTTGACTACGCTGACGCTCTAGTCTCTGGTACTGCCCGTCTTCCGTCCGTCAGGGGTGCACCTGCCCTTGGCAGTGACGTGTTAGAGGACAGGCAATACGAGTTGGCCTACCTTCCAGCCGCTGTTCCCCATCTCTGCTCCATGCTTGTATCCCAAGAGGGCGACCCAGATGTTCTCGACATCCCTGTTCCACGCTCTTACGCTGAGGCGGTGTAGGGGCCCTGGGCTACCAGTGGATACAGGCCATCGAGGTTGAGATGGCATCCTACAGATCTACAGGCACTTACGTCGACGCATTTCCCCCGCCTGAGGCGAATGTAGTCGATGGCATGTGGATCTACATGGTGAAGCGTGCTCTTGGAGAGCCTCCAAAGTTCAAGGCGCATTACATGACCAGAAGCTTCAGTCAGCGTGAGGATGTGGATGTCTACTCTTCAGGTGCTCCTCCGCATAGCTGCGCAGCGTGAGTACGAGCTTCACTCACTCGGCTTCTCTACAGCATTCCTGTTGGGTAGTCTGCACGAGCAAATCTACCTCCGGCACCCTCTAGGCTTCTCTGGGTCCTTCCCACCTGGGACCTAGTGGAGCCTGCACCATCCTGTCTACAGCCTTTGTCAAGCACCCCGTGAATGGCACGACACGCTTCGCACACCTCTTGCCGAGCTGCAGTTCTTTCCATCCTCTGCTGACCCCTCTCTTTGTTCGCACTGGCCTCAGTGAAGGCCGAGTTACTTAGGAGACACACTTGCATAGACTTGGAGGCGCTATCTGGGCTTGGAGATCTCTCGTGACCGTGCCGCTCGCACAATCACACTCTCCCAGTCCCATATGGTGCAGAATATCCTCTAAAGGTTCAGTCTCCAGTTCTCCTCAGCACAACTCACCCCTCTGCCTGTGGATCACAAGCTCTTTGCTCCTGTTCCGGCTGAGCCGGTTGAGGCTAGTGGTCCATCCGCAGAGCTGGTGGGGTGCCTCATGTTCTTGATGACCTACACTAGACCAGATCTAGCATAACCTCTCTGTCTCCTGGCTCGCTTTGTCGCGACAAGCAGGCACCGACTAGTCCATTGATCGGCTGCCAAGAGGGTATTGCGGTATCTGGCGAGCACATCAGGACTGGGGCTTGTGCTTGGAGGACGGGAGCCAGTGGTGCTCACTGAATACACAGACGCGTCATGGGCTGACGACTTGGAGAAGCTCAGGTTGTCTCGAGGCCACTGCTTTAGTCTTGGTGCTAGTGTATTCTCGTGGAGGTCCACAAGGTCGTCATCTATAGCTCAGTCCAGTTGTGAGGCAGAGATCTACACTCAGTCCATGGCCGCTCATGAGCTCTGTTGGCTGTCGTTCTTACTCACTGACTTAGGTGAGCAGCCTAGGTCTGCCCCGATCCTATTTGTTGACAACATGTGTGAAAGTACGACCCCGTTACACTCCTTTCTCATTTCCATCCTTCTCCTCTATCTCATTCTTCTCTTTATCCTAATTCATCTGGTCTTTATCTCATCTCATGTGGGTTCCAATTCCTCATTTTCCATTACCCTTTGGTTTATCCTATTATTTTAATTATATCACTAACCAGGCTCGGTATGTACTGGCGCGCTATATCTAGTGTAATCCTACAGTAATCCCTTAAAGCCAATAGCCTTGTATGGCTATACGCAAGGTGATTCTATTTCTAGAAGGGTCTATTCCCTTTGGATAGGATAAACCTGGTTACCTGATGTGCCTCGGAAGTATAAAAGCGCCTTATATTAATCGATAGTGCAACTTTTCCTCGACCCATTCGATCCTGTAACACTTGGTAATCAGAGCTTTTCTCACTCGGCCGCGCTCAGCTAAGCAACAGCAGCAGGAAAACCTGCCTCGAAAAACTGACGGGGGCGACTAATTCAGCGTCGATTCTGCATAGCACCAGCTCCGCGTTTTCTTAATAAACCCCCACCATGCATGTTTTGAACAGGATGGCGAACTTCGACAACGCCGAGGTTACCCAACAGCTCTTCGCGTGCATCGCCGCCCTACAGGAGGAGATGCGAGCCGACCGTGAAGCTTGGCAAAATGAGTTTGAGTAACTCGACGCGAGTAACTTGACTCGCCTGCGCGCAACACAAAACGACAACGGCGATGGCGCAGCAGTCACAACAGTTTGTTTAGGTTCCGAAGCCACACCCACCTGAGCCGTTTGATCCGAGCGATCGAAATTCCGACGTCCGCAGATGGATCGCCGGCATGGAGATCTACTTCGCAGCCGTCGGATGGAGCTCGCCAGCCTAGGACGGTCAACGCGTGCGACTCGCGGCGACACTGATGCAAGGGCCGACACTCGAGTGGATCGGCGGCAACATTCCCTTTATCTATGGTGAAGCCACGTAGCAGTAGTTCCACACCGACCTTCTGAAACGTTTCGAGCCGATAAATTCTGGTTTCCTTGCCCGAGAAAAAAATCACCTCCATCGACAGTTCGGGAGTGTGGCACAGTACACATAGCAGATGGAGGAATTTTATAACCGCATTCCCGACCTGACCGAAGGGGAAAAGTACAGTCGTATCTCGCCGAGCTGAAGAACGAAGTCAAACTACGGGTAGCAGCGACAAATTATGCAAGCTACATTGACATCCTTTCGACAGCGGAGCAGTTTGACATGGTCAACACCAGAACACGATAAGCGTACATCAACAGTACGCGACAGGGCGACCGCACGGTTCACCCCACGGTCGCCGACCCGATGGAAATCAACAGGTTCGACGGCCGGCCACGTCCGAAAAACACCAACTTTACGTGTGATTCTTGCGGGGTGCCGGGCCATCGAATTTTCGACTTCAATAAAATGAAAGCCAAACGTGCGGAGTATTGGGTGCACAACAGAGGCAAAAAATGGGATTTGCCAGTGATTGCGGATCTAACTAGCAAAAAGGAGAAGATCCGAAACAGCCGCGGGATTCCAGAAAAATCAACTTCAATGAAGCTGATTCAATGCGAGCAGGAGGGAATGACGAGGAAAACTCTCCACCCCACGACCAGTCTTCGCCTGGGAAGATCGTCGAGAAAAAATCGGGCTCCGCAAAAAAGGTTCTGTCGAGACGGGGAAACTCCTAGAAGACCCAAGAAATTATAAGAATTCGTTAAAGTCATCTAATAAAGATGCTTTAATGAAAACTTATGATTCTCGAGGGGCTAGAGCCTTGGAGAAATTTTGGGAGGGACTCCAGAAGAACTAGAAACTTGTGGAGATCGTATTGGTACTAGAGAACTTGGGGAAAACAATAAGGAGTGTGGAAAGAAGCCGACCTTTCCACGAAGTCAATGTCCTCTCCCAACACCAGCACACAACGATTACCCGTTCCCCAAGGAAAAAGTCAGTGGAGCTGAAGCAACTCAAGAGGAAGCTGGGGGTATACAAGAAGCTGCAAAGGCCCCGAACTCCTCCTTCGGATGCATCCAGCTCAGCAATTTCGGCATCAACGACACACACTTTCGTCAAGGAAACTTCGGGCCCTAGAGAAGAGCCTATCTCCAAGCAGCCTCGGCCAGTTGCCAGCTGAGGAGTATATAGCGATGAAAAGGTGTGTACGGAATATTGGGATGTACCCTATGATCCTATTCACGAAACTATTTGTAGGTACTCCGTGCAACGCCTGCCCCTCGTGCTCGAGGTCATCTACAAAGGACGACGAATTTAAGCACTCATGGACAGCAGAGCGTCACACACCGTATGCGACAAGGCAGCAATCGACCGACTTCGGGAAGAGTACAAGCCTTCAACATTCTCTGCAACGATGGTGGACGGTACCAAGGTACGAGTGTATGACAACGTAGTGTTACACCTACAAATCGGACCACTGCACTGGAAACCCGTACTCACCATCACAAACATAAAAGGGCTTGACTTGATCTTCGGGTGAGACTTCCTAAAAATTTTCAACCCCGAGATCAACAGGGTAAACCGTACCCCAAGCATCTACAACAACGGAAGGAGAGCCGAGCTACGCAACTGGGACTACACAGGTGATATTCTAGTAGAGACACTCGCTAGGTTTGTGAAGGACGTGAAACGAACCGACACCAGGTTCTTGGCGATAGCAACAGATGTGGAAGACGACAGAGAGAAAACCTCGGAACCTCTAGAAAAAATCAAGGAATTACTGAAGGAGTTCCAAGACATTCTTCCCGACGACCTTCCGAACGAGCTGCCGCCATACCGAACGCACCAACACGAGATCGTGGAAGAACCAGGTTCAAAGCCGACCTTCCGAGCACCATATCGGCTCAGCCCCACAGAGCTAGCCGACACGAAGAAACAGATCGAGTATCTCATCGCAAAAGGACTCATCCGGCCATCCACTTCGCCATACGGTGCCCCAGTACTCTACACACCAAAATCGGACAGAAGCCTGCGCATCTGCATCAATTACTGAGCTCTCAACAAGCAGACCGTCAAGAACAAATACCCGATTCCACGAATCGATGACCTGCTTGACCAGCTTCAGGGAGCCACGGTATTTTCTAAACCGGATATTGGCAGATAAGAATGGCGGACACTTCTATCCACAAAACTGCCTTCCGAACTCGGTACGGGTCGTACGAGTATCTGGTAATGCCGTTCGGACTCACCAACGCACTGGCAACGTTCCAAACCGAAATGAACCACATTCTATGCTCGCTCTTGGATGAATGCGTGGTGGTGTACCTGGACGACATCCTCATCTACTCGCGCGAAATGAAGCAGCACGTCGAACACCTGCGACACGTCTTCGACGAGAACGATTCTACACCAAATTATCCAAGAGCGAATTCTCCATCGAGAAGGTCCAATTCCTAGGAAACATGGTGAGCACTCAAGGAGTTCACGTCGACCCCAGGAAGATCGAAATCGTACGCACGTGGAAGACACCGGAGAACTTGAACGAGCTGCAGCAGTTCTTAGGCTTTGCTAGCTATTACAATAGGTTCGTGCCACAGTACGCGAAAATCGCCGTGCCACTCACGAATCTGCTGAAGTAGAGCACGCCATATAAGTGGGAACCAAAACATCAGGAAGCCGTGGAGCAACAGAAACAAGCACTCACTTCCGCACCCGTACTCATCTTGCCAAACACTGAATGCGACTACGGCATCGAAGCTGACCCTAGTGACCAGGCAGTGGGAGCAGTCTTGATGCAAGACGAAGGGAATGGACTGCAACCAATCGCCTACCTCGTCAAAAAATTGCACGGGGCAGAACTAAACTACCCGATACACGACAAAGAAGCCCTTGCTACAGTATTATCATCGCCTTCGAAACGTGGAGATCTTACCTCGAAGGACCAAAAACAACCGTCTACACCGACCTTTGCAGCCTGAAATATTTGAAGACGCAGCCAAACCTCTCCAGGCGGCAGGTCCGCTGGATTGACTTCGTCGAGACGCAATTCCACTACGAGATCGTATAAAAGCCCAGCCACAAAAACAAAGCAGACGATCTAAGCCGGCCTGCACACGTTGTCGCTATCCAGGTCAAAGGGATGAACCCACTACTTAAGGGAATCTTCACACACAGGTACACCATTGTTCCCGAAATTCCCTTTGCAGCAAAGCGACACGTGCTACAGTGGGGCCATGACATCGCGTAACGGAAAGGATCAACGAAAATCTGGGTACCCAATTATCCTCCATTGCGCCAGTTACTACTCGAAGAATACCATGATGTCCTATACGCGGGGCACTTAGGTAGCAACAAGACGCTCACCGGTATTGCAAAGCACTACTACTGCCCCCACATGATAGACAACGTACAGAAATTTGTCACCTCGTACGACACATGTCAGCAGATGAAGAGCAGCAACAAAAGGCAGGACTGCTACAGAACAGCCATGGCAAGTAGTTAGCCTGGACTTCATAACCGGATTACCAACTACCACAAGCGGTCTTGACGCTATCCTCGTCGTCATCGACAAATTCTCCAAAATGGGACACGTCATCCCGACACACACGACAGCACGCACGGAGGAGACGACACGAGTGTTTGTTCGCTACATCATCTCACAGTATGGCATTCCAACCACACTCATCTCCAACCGAGACCCCAAGTTCACCAGCAATTTATGGAAGGAACTTATGTCTCTGCTCGGGACCAAACTTGCCATGTCATCCGTCTACCATCCACAGACAGATGGACAGACCAAGCACCTCAACCAAATTGTAGAGCAACTCCTCTGCGCAAAATGCAAGGACGAAATCTCTAAGTGGGACTTGCATCTACCCGTCCTGGAGTTTGCCTACAACAACGCCACTCACGCCGCTACTGAATAGACGCCGTTCTTTTACTGTTACGGACGCAACCCGCTCATGCCATAAAAATCAACAGTATCAGCCACAGTCCAACCCGCACACGACTTCATCACCACCATGCATTTGCCATGGGATCGGACCCACAAGCGCCTCCTCAACATTCAGCAGCACCAGAAGCGCCAAGCCGATCATCACCGTACTAACCACACCATCACTGTAGGAGACCGTGTTCCACTCGACCCCAACACCAATCATCTCCCATCCAAACTTTGACCTCGCTTCTTCGGGCCTTTCCCCGTTGAAGCACAGGTCACTCCTGTTACCTTCTGCTTATGCCTGCCAGCTACCTGGAAGATTCACAACGCCTTCCGTGTCCAACTTCTAAAGCCCTACCGCTATCCCAACACGGTCTTCACCGGATGCCAACTGCTGCCGCCGCCGCCCGTCCTTGTCCATGATCAAACTCAGTACGAGGTCGAGTCCGTGCTTGCACACCGCCGTCATTGGAATGGCACCTTGGAGCTTCTCCTCCATTGGAAGGGTTATGATCCTTTTGAGGATAGCTGGGTCCCTGAATCAGAGATGGGTAACGCTCGTCGTCCTGTTCGCGACTACCTTATCAAGCAGGGTGTTACTCTACCACCCAGCTTTGTGGGGGAAATGTGAGAGTACAACCCCGTTACACTTCCTTCTCACTTCCATCCTTCTCTTCTATCTCATTCTTCTATTTATCCTAATTCATATGGTCTTTATCTCATCTCATGTGGTTTTTTGTTCCTCATTTTCCATTTTTCCTTTGGTTTATCCTCATATTATAATTGTATCACTGACCAAGCTCGAGATGTATCCCTTCAAGCCAAAAATGTCGCGTGGCTATACGCAGGGTGATTCTATTTCTAGAAGGGTATATTCTATTTGGATAGGATAAACCTGGTAATCTGATGTGTACCTTGGAAGTAAAAAATGTTAGAATATAGGAATGATTAGGAATAAGAGAGAACAAGGAAGATATAGGGTTGGATTTGTACCGTCTAAGAACATACACTTATCTAGTCTATAACTTCTACATAATAACATATGTATAAGTTGACACACCCCCTAGGCTAGATAAGGGACATACTGACCAAGAAACGCGCAGCTCAGAGTGGCACTACTAGTCCAACCTCTGAGGCAAGGGTCTGAAGACCAGTCAGCAAGAGTAAAAACAAGACAAGAGCAAACCAGGGCGGCACTACTAGTCCGGCCACTGGAAGAGAAGCCACAAGGCAGGTCTAGAAGGTATAAATATAGAGGATTACACAATCAAGGCCCTAGCAAGTGAGAGTCTACAGGAACAAGACCAAGCTGCAAGCAGTGCCGCTGATGATCTTTATGCGCAAGCGCCTTAGTCAAGATATCAGCTGCGTTGGCAGCGGAGGCCAAGTGTACTACGCGGGCATGGCGACGCTGCTGTAGCTCGCGCAGGAGGAATTACCGCAGCTGGATGTCCTTCGCTCTGCCCTCAAGTTGTGGCTCCTGACACAGGAGAATCATGGCCCTGTTGTCAGCGTACAGAACCGGGGCAGAGCTAGGCCGCTCACCTAAGTCGGTGAGCAAGAAGGTTAGCCAGCGGAGCTCCTGTGCCGCCATGGCACCGGGATAGATCTATCCCTCACAGCTAGACTGGACAACAGACGAGGAGCGTGTGGACCTCCACGAGATGGCACCCGAACCAAGGCTAAAGAAGTAGCCCTGGGAGGACCTGAGGGTCTCAGCGTCGTCTTCCCAAGAAGCGTTTGTGTGCCCAGTAAGGACCACTAGTCTGTGTCCTCCCAGCACTAGCCCCATGCCCGATGTACTTGCTAAACAACGCAAAACCCTCTTGGCGGCCGACCGGTGGCCAAAAAGCGAGCCAGGATGCTGAGAGGGTATGCGAGATCAGGACGAATGCAAGTCATCTGTACATGCGGCAACTCACTAGCTCTGCGTAAGAACCAGTGGGCTCTGCTAACTCCTTAGGAACTGGAGCTGAGAGCATGTGGTCTACTGGCAGAGGTGTGGGCTGTGCGGAGGAGAACTGAAGACCAAACCTCTGAAGGACCTAGCGCACCAAGTGTGACTGTATGAGAGTGATGGTGCACGCTGCTCTGTCCTTGGAGATCTGCAGGCCAAGGTAGCGGCGCAGCTCTCCTAGATCAGTGCAGGTGTGTCTCCTCAACAGCTCGCCCTTCACGGAGGCCAGCGCGTCTCTGTCTGCAGTAGCAAAGACCAAGTCATCTACGTAGACAAGGATGTAGAACGGAGTTTGGCCAGCACGAACGAAGAGCGAAGGGTCTGCAGAGGACAGAAAGAACTGCAGGTCAGCTAGCGTAGCACCCACCGTGTCATGCAACTCACGGGGTGCCTGTCGCAAGCCGTAGACCGGGCGCCGGAGGAGCCACTAGGTCCCAGGAGGGAAGGTACCGGTGAAGCCCTGTGGACGACGTAGGTAGACCTGCTTGTGTAGGCTGCCCTTAAGAAAAGCAGTGGAGAATTCGAGGGAGTGGAGCTCGTAGTCACGCTGTGCTGCTACGTGTAACAGCGCCCGAAGAGTCGTCGTCTTCGGGGACGGGGCGAAGGTCTGAAAGAATTCCACCCACTCGTGCTGACTGAAGCCTCTAGCCATGTAGCGCGCCTTGAACAAATGCCGCTCTCTAGGGGGGCGCTTCACCTTGAAGAGCCAGCGGCCATCGACTACGTTCACCCCAGGTGGGGGAACTGTGTCGACGTAGGTGCCGGTGGAACTCCAAGATGTCATCTCCTGCTCCATGGCAGCTATCCACTGAGAGGCACAGGGTCCCAAGGTCGCCTCAGCGTAAGTGCGAGGGGTCGAGATGTCAAAGGCCTCCGGGTCACCCTCAGGGACTAACAGCATGGAGCAGAGATGGGGAGCAGCCTCAGAGAGGAAAGAAAGCTTGTACTGCCTGTCCTCTAGGACGTCATTGCCAAGGGCAGGAGCACCCCCGACGGACGGAGGGACAGGGTCAGAGACCAGAGCGGTGGCATAGTCAAGGCGGCGAGTAGAGGCGAATTCAGCGACAGTAGCGACAAGAGCCTCAAGATTGGAGACATGAATAGACGAGTTGGTAACGAGGGAGGCAAGGATCCAAGGAACAAGAGGATGAGCAGCACGAAGGTAGTCGGACAGAGGGGGAGGCGCGACAGCGAGTGACAACGGAGGAGGGGAAGGCAGGAGGGGAGGACGGGACACGTGGAAACGAAGCAACATAGGGTGAGAATGCTTAACAGGAGAGACAAGAGGAGCCCGAGAGGGACTGCAAGACTAGACGTGAGACGGAGGCGTCGGGTCAGGAGACAGAGGAGGAGTAACAGGAGGGGAACGAAGTGGGAATCGGGTCGAGAACGAGTCCGACGGAGGAAACACAAGACCATGGACAGGAAGGGGAGGAGGTGGCGGGGGAGGCGTTGGCGAGCGGTCGGGGGATGGAAGGCCGAGCAGGCGAAGGGTGGACACCGGCGGCGTCTGGTGCTGCTGCTGCTCGACGTCGACACCTGGACCGCCAGCTGCACCGCAACTACCTCTGGAACACTCCACTCCAGCACCCCTAGAACAAGAGCCCTCTCCAGCACCAGTGCCCACCACAAGCCCACCGGGAGAAGCCACGACAGGAACTCCAGGACTAGCACCCTCCTCAACGCCAGCACCCCCAGAGTCCATGAACGGCTGCTGCTAATGCGGCGGCGGCGACTGCTCCGGCGGCAGCGACTGCGACGGCGGAGGAGGAGACACCGGGGGAGAGACAGGCGGCAAGAACTGCGCCACAGGGAGTCAGCCGACTCCTCGACCGGGACAACCGACGAGAGGGGAGTGACGTGAGACACACTAGACGGAGTAGGACAGGGAGGAAGGTGAGTAGGGGCTACTAGGGGAGTGGGGACCAGAAACAGGGGAGGGGAAACCGGGAGACCTCGGTAGGGAAAGCGGTGATAAAAGGAGACACACTTGTCAAAAGTGGCGTCATGGGAGTGAAAGAAGCGGTGAGACGACTTGTGGTAAAAGTGCCAGTAAGATGAGTCCAGGGGGAAACCAAGGAAGACACAGAGGACAGTGCGAGCAGTGAGCTCGTCCGTGCCAAAGGCACGAAAGTGAGCGAAGCAGCCCCAGACGTGGAACGCGGACGCGTCACCAGGGAACCCGATCCAGAGAAGGGTCGGCAAAACCTGCGGCCGCTGGGAGAGCGGCCAGAGGTTAAGCTGGTGAGCGGCGTACTGAACTGCGAACGGCCATAGAAAATGGGGTTCACCGGCGTGAATCATGGAGGTACGAACCACCTCCATTACCAAACCGATGCGTCGTTCAGCGACCCCATTTTGCTGCGGGGAGTCCGGTAGGGTGTACGACTGGGTGATGCCCTTTGCACGACAAAAATGTCCAAGCTGACCAGATGCAAACTTGCCGCCACGGTCGGGGTGGAGACACAGCACAGGGAGACCGCGGTGGAGGCACGCAGCTACAACCCACAGGATAAGATCGTCAGGCACGTCGGCCTTCCGTTCCAAGGGAAACACCGTGGTGTGGCGCGTGTAGTCGTCAACAAGCACTAGAAAGTAGTGCTCGCGACGCGGTCCAGGAACGGGGGTTGGGCCCCAGACGTCCAGGTGCAGGGTCTAGAGGGGTGCGGTGGCAGGACGAAGCCATGAGGAGTGAGGAGCACGGCACAACCGGCCCTCGACGCAGGGCGTGCATGGTGGCGCAGGTGAGGGAGGGAGGGCAGGAAGCAACGCAGGGAGACCTAGGACGAGACCGTGCTGAGACATGTGACGCAGACGCGGGAGTGCTGGGTGACCTAGGTGGTGGTGCCACATAAGCGACGGGTGAGTGAACGACCGACACGAGCACACAGCGGCAACCTGGGTAGACGCAGGACTCGGGAAGGACGGTCCACCTGGGGGGGGACTAGTTTCTAGCATAAAGAGGCCAGACACCGGGTCCCGGGGGGATGTTGCAAGGGGAGAACCTGAGGCGGCCTCGGTACAGACGTCGTACCGCTCGTGACCCGAAAACGTAG